CAGGGTGTTCATTGAGCATCAGGGATCCGATAATTATCTGGCTATCACACAGAATTTGATATCCAGAGTGAGAAAAAAAAGTTTGCTTCCTACTCAACAAATTCCCCTTGCAAACCTGTTTTGATGACAGAAGATGAGCTTTATACGACTAGCTACCCCACACAGCTCAAACATCATATCGGGCTTTCTGAAGACTGGTAATATTGTTAAAACTGCGCAACGTTCTTCGTTCTGCCTAAACCCTCGATAAACAAGTGGACATAGAGAAAACCTCTTCTTGAGGCTCGCGGCCACATTTCTGTCGCCCGTGTAAAGTCTAGCTGGCGAAATTTAAACGACTAACATTCAACTTGACAAATGATACAATCTGGCTGTACGAGTGTTTTCGTCTATGACTCAGACAAGAACAGTAATAATTGTAAGCCAAATTAGCCGAAAAATTTCATCCTATAAAAAATTAACTGACCTTTAAAAAATACTGACCTTTAAACCCAATCAGGATAAAAATCACTTCATCCCCCAATCGCCAACGACCTTTGGTCGACCTTTAACCATTCACTAAGTCCAGCCTTGGAAGTTGATAGGATACTACGATTGTGCTTACATGATATAGAGCGCATAGCCCAGTCCCAGGATCTCTCGATTTACCGCCCACCCCAAGCTGACAAAAGGGTAGCGATACTTTAATCGATTAATGAGCTAGATTTTAATCCCTTGAGAGGGAAAATTGAAGGGTCGCAACACGAGCACAAGGGAAAAGAAGAGTTTCAAAACGCACCGTTTTGCGCTACGCTTGATGACCACCCATCTTTCAGCTTGCCCTTACTTATCTGATGAGACATTTTTTAATAAACCAGGCTATCTTTACATTTTACTATCGTGCAGAAGACGCTATCAAGCAATCTTTTTGATACTGATTTTTCTTGTCGTTAATCCTATATGACAACCACAGGTCAGATACTAACTTTCGTAATTTAACTCTGAGAAAAGTGATCACATGCATACTCAACTTACACTCTCATCAAAAAAAATGTCGGTTGTGTCTTTGAGGCAACAGCTTTTTGAGAAGCGGTCTGTAATGTAATGTAAGTAAGTAGTCAAATGGATCGGAATACAAACTAGTAATATTCTCACAGGTAGAGTTTAAAAAAATGTAGTCACAGCCCTGCCGTACGTTTTTGGGTGTGTACTGGGCTTCCTGTGTAGCTGAATGACTCGTTTGATATTCTGACTTTCAAGTTACTTTATCCTCCCCTTGGAAAAAAATGCTCAGAAACAACAGAGAGGGCGCCTATCAGACACGGGGCGTTTATTAGAGGGCATGTCCAATACAACTTGTGTTCCTCACGAGGAGTCACCATTTAAGATATTCAACACACTTCCTTCAATATAAAGATTCATTGTTTAGTTTTAGGAGTAGTAGCCACATGCATTCCTTGACTACCTCTTGTTTACAATTGAAGGTGTTGATATAGTACACAACAGATGAAGTTGCAGTCCATATTTAAAAACAAGTCATTTTGCAAGGATCACCTCAGAACTGATTTCCGTAATCTTAGTGCTTGGCTCGTCACCCTAACATTTTTGTCCAGGGACTGTTTCGCAAAGTAGTGTTTGAGTTTAATGCTCGCTATAGTTTGATCAGTTCTAGTGGCTTATGTCACGCCGGGCAATTCGTCGGCCATGAGGCGAAGCTTTTTCGCTTTCTCATCCAACACCTGCCTGGACGAACAAAGTTATGTCCCGTACAGAGGAACGGCTATGACCTTTGTTCTTCAAGTGTTTGTCCAGCAATGCTAGTATTACTTTAAGCCTTTTTGGTTCATAATTCTTACACGTTTGTTGATCAGTTCGGCGTGAATTCGCTTGAGCTAAGTATTAAGCTCGGACGGCTCGCAGTATTTTTTTTCCAAACAGAAAACCAGAAAGCAGTGCTTTTCAAAATGTAGTTTTTTTTTTTTTTTTTTTTTAAAACAGCAGCCGTTCTTTTCTCTCGCAATCTCGCGCCATTCAAAAATCGAGTTTGATTGGCTCTTTGTAAGTGCCTTCGTTTCTAAACCAATCAGAATGCTCTTTTTTTTTGCTATTTTTGCTCTAAATAACCTTTTCTCTGCACTAAATTTCCTTATTTATGAATCGCACTTCCTGTAAATAGCATTCCTCTTTTTTTCTCAGCGAAAGTGGCGTCATAGCTGAAACAAGATATCGGCAAGTCAGAAATGTTATGACTTTATTCAGACAAAAGATCGTTCAATTACGTGCAACAACGATAACTTTGGACACCTAACTGTATTGAAAGTACAAGGAAAATTCACGGGGTATAGCCACAGGCCTCCTAATCTTACGATGATGCTAATCCCACTTTAAATAGCGTTTGGCCACCAGAAGTTATGCTTGTCCATCACGTGTACAGATTACCACCCAGATTACCCACCCAACAATTTAGCAGTTACTATAATTTCTTCTCTAGGGCGGAGAGAGGCAATTTGAGAGTTTACCTGGTTAATTAATCATAAAAGAGTTTTAACTTTTTCGACAGAAATTAATATATATATATACATTAGTTTAAGAATGCAAAACCAAATTCCAAAAATACATAATTTGTCGGCATAGCAACAGATTTGGCAAGAGTAGAATTGCATCAAACCTTTAGTAACCATGCATATACCTGTAAGATCACGAAAACAATTAATATCTTACTTTCTTCAAAGATAGTGAACTAGGATACCATGCACTTTTAAGGGTGGCAAGATATTTTCAAAGCAAACTTTTCTCAAAAAGTGTGTATCCATGCGATGATAGTTTACTTTGAAAGAGCACAACAACACCAAAATAACTAGACCATTTTCATAAAGCTGGCATGATTATATCTCTCTAATAGGTGCATTTAAATCTGCCTTTGTGGCCTCAGTTATGGGTGAAAACTGCAATGATTCAAACCATGTTATCCAGGCAAGGAAAGCTAATTTGCATGCATGACAAAATATTACTAATTAAGGTCCACAATTGAAACATGTATAATTTTCTGCAAGATTTTGGGACAAAAGTTGGGTACAGTGTAATTGGCAAATTGGGAACTAACTTTGCAGAAAAATTTGCCAATTTGGCGACCTGTGTTTAGCAGACATATAACATAATTAGAAAGCTGTAACCTACTTTTTCATTACAACAACAACAACAAGAACAATTTATTTAAGATTATAGAATAGAGCTAAGTACATTGGGTTCTCTCCACAAATTGCTTATGAACTAATCGAGGCGGGCAGACCTAATAACAGTTTACATGTACAGGATTTATCTATAGATGGACTAACAATGAAAACACTTACTATACAGTAAATAGAATAAGCATAAAACAGAGCAAGTATATTAAGATTACGAAAAGAGGCTAACCTAAAGTATTAAATAACTTAATAAGACGGGAGACCTCGACATAATCATCTTCTGACCCTAAAAATTTAGTAGTAACTCCCTTATCTTTTAACGAAAGGACGAACGTTTGAGTTGTTTAATCGAATAGAGGATGGAATTCTCGAGAAAGAAGCATACATTTTATCTTTTCTAGAAAATTTGACAAAATACGAGTCACTAGAGACTGATCTTGTTCTGTAGTTATGAATCTGACTTGTTTTAACAAACTGATTGAGTATACTCACTGGTGCTGTCAGTCTGTTGATATCACACAATAAATAGTTACAATCTCTGAAAAATAGGCTAGGTTGGGGAAGACAAATCGATTTGAGGAAGAAGGATACGGTGTGCTCCTTAGACTTACTGAAGTAAATAAGACGTATGGCCCGTTTTTGTAGAATTTCGATCTTTTTTTTAAATGTTACAGCACAATTTCCCCAAGCACAAATACCATAAGTTACATAAGGGACAATTAGTGAATTGTAAACTGAAAGTAAGACACGACGCGGGACATAATGTCGAATCTTGGCAATTCCTATTGACTTGCTAATTTTGTGGCAGATAGATTCTGTATGGTATTTCCATGAAAGATTTGAATCAATTATTAAGCTGAGATATTTTACATAGTCTTTCATTTTAAGGTTTGCATAGGTATAAGTCACAGTGTCAAAAATTCTAATCCTAGGTATAAAAAGGCATATTTTTCTGTCGGGGACGAAAAATTACAAAGTTTGATTTTTTTATGTTCAGAGATAGTTTATTGGCCTTAAGCCAATTGTTGATGTTGCCAAGTTCGCGATTAATAAGAGACTCGAGTTCCTTTAAGTTGCTATTTGCAGATATTATACTGGTATCGTCAGCAAATAGATAAAAGTTAACTAACGAAGAGGACTTGTAAATATCATAGCTGTACAGAAGGAACAAGAGAGGTCCGAGGACTGAGCCTTGTGGTACGCCGCACATTACTACATGTTTATGGATCGAACTAAAAAAGGGGATGCACTTGATCTCTAAAGATAATTTATGTTCCTCCCTTTTTATTTATAATTTTTTTAAGTTTCTCTTTGTTTAACTTTAAGATACTGCATCAACTTCCCATAAGCATTTACTGACATTGCCTGCTATCTTGCTTATTCAAGCTCTCTTGTTAAAGAAAAATTAAAAAATTCAAGAGTAGTGTACTTCTTCATGCTATATTGCACAAGCTGACCTTCTCCTTTTTATTCCAGGAAATAAAAACTTTCTGCCAGCCACCACTTTATGATTTGTGGTCATCAAATAGAGACTTTTAACAAGGTTGTGTTTGGAGCTGTCGATGGTGATAAAATACTTTATTTCAGAACAACATGTAAATACATAATTATTAAGAAAAAGGAAACCCAGAGGTTGGCCCTATATCAAGGGTCTCCTATTTATGTAAAAAATCTTACAGAACTAGTTAATAAAAATATAAAAAAGTCAAATAAGAAACAGCTAAATATCAATTATAAAATGACGATTCAATAAATATTCATATGTTTCTTCAATTTTGATTTAAACTCACGAACGTTAGGGCTGTCACAAAAATTAAATAAATTAATAGAAAGATTATTCCAGGGTTTGATAATTCAGACAAAGAAAGAATTTTTGTAACAGTTCAGTTTTGCGAGTTTGAGTTGTAGTTTATATGGGTGGTTAGATCTCGATTTTGTGTTTTTACAAAGATCAAAATAGTCGCTGAAATTCAATCCATTTAGATTGAATACAGTTTTATAACATTCCCCTAAGGAAAGGAAATCTCTCCTTTGTACTAAAGAGTTCCATTTAAGAATTTTACACCTCTCCGTATACGCCATCTCTTGTCTTCTTTGGCCTAAGGCAATTCGCGAGGCTCTTCTTTGTATCTTCTCAATTTCATCGATGTCTTTGATGAGGTGTGGTGACCACACCGGGCAGGCGTATTCAAAAATTGGACGAACCAAGGTTTTGTACAAGTTTGAAAAAATATCTTTGTTTTTACCGCCTACTGTGCGTTTAAGTAAGCCAAGAACCTTATTTGCTTTGTGAACTATTTGTTCAACATGTTTTGACCATTTCAGATCACTAGTCATAATAACTCCAAGATCTTTGTAATTAGATACATTCCTCAACACTGTACTCGATATATTGTACCGTGTGGACTTTTTGTCTCTGTTATGTGTAATTCTCATGACTTCACATTTGGTAGAATTAAATTTCATCTGCCAACGATCCGCCCACAGGTCGAGGGTGGTCAGATCTATCTGTAAAGCAATAGAATCATCGATATTATTTATCTGTCGGTAGATTTTGGTATCGTCGGCAAATAATTTGGCAGTAGACGTGATGATGCCAGGTATTTCGTTCACATAAATAAGGAACATAACCGGTCCCAGTACTGAGCCTTGTGGGACACCAGATGTAACTGGTGACCAATCCGAGCACGATCCACGTGAAGTACATTTGGGAGACAATGTCTCACTGGTCAACAAGCCAGAGATAATTTATGGTTAGAGCTTTAGCCTCTGTGTTGTGCTTTCCATTGCCTTTTCCACCTTTAAGGTCCCTTCATGCTACTGAAATAGGCACATTATGTCCAACCAGAAAGGTTTTGATCTGGCTCCTTGGCTGACTTTACTTTTTACCTTTCCTTCCACCCTCAGGAGCATGAATTGATACTGACAAGCTGTCAGACAAAATTAATGAAATGTCAGTAGGGGAGGACGAAATAGCCAGTGATGGATTAGTATCCCAATCAGCCTGCTGTAGGAAGTTATAACTGGGATAAGCCTCTGTATATGTAAGAGAAAGTCTTGTAATTAGAGTATTAGCTTTGCTACTATGCATTTATACATGAAAGTTAAACGTAACAAACTTGCTCGACAAACCTAAATTTGCCTCAGCTGCCACTCTTTTAGGCTTGCAGAAAGCAATATAATTTTGTTACTTGCAATACATTGACTACCCTTGGCTCATAAACATTGTGTGAGACAAAGAACTTTTTTTCAGATAATGATAAATGTAAATTGTAACAAGTTATAATACAACCAATAATCAAGCAGTACTTTAGAAAAAAAAGGGAAACACTGCAGCACCTTAATTCCAAAACCTTGAATCTTCAGGTGTGAATTTATGCAAAATCATGTGTTTGCTAACATGTCCCTGTAATTTGACACACAGCCATCCATGACTTTCATCCCCTTTTAATCTAACCTCAAACATCTTCCTTAAAATGCTTTATGTCTTAGAGGGTCACAAGGGGATTACAGCAACATTGGTTTCATGCTGAAACTACAATCCAACACCACTTACGTCTAATTATGTGTAACTGACATCTAGACTTAAAATGTTACAAATACCTAACCAAATATTCTGCTTAGATTTGATGAAGTATCTGGTACAAAGAGCTTTTCAATGATGGAAAACATAAGCTAAAACCATTTAAGAGTGACTAGCATCTAATCTCTCCTTACAATATCACCCTTAATTAAATCAAACATTAAGGTCACAAGAATAATTATACAAAATGATCACCAAATAGAGAAACTCTTAATTTTTGAACAAATTCTCCTTGCCAGAACCTTAGAAAATGTATAGAGAACCATATGTGAGAATATGCACGTTAATGTTGGCTGATTAAAGGATATGTGTTGCATTTATATCACTGGGCAAAATAACAATTTTCATTAATAACAAAATGAAGGTAAGAACAAGAAAACACTAATTCAGGTACATGTATTTTGTACCACAAGTTTATAGCCCAGACAGATAGCCACCTTTGTGATGAGTGGTTGAGCATCTTGTCTTAATTCAGCGTTTCGAAAGCCCTTTTAAGGCCTAAAAACCTCCTTTATTTTCTAGAAAACAGCTTTCTTGGTAATTGGCTTCCGTCGCAGATTGTGTGTCCAGTGTACAGATAAGTCCAAAATATCTTCATAAATTGCACACTATCATAACTATTTGAGGAGATATGAAGAATGTATCATAACTACTTTTCAATACCACACGGTGGGTTAAAAGCTCCTTTGCACGCAATTGTGCTTGCATATTTGTCCATGGACATTATCTGACCCAAGAAGTGAACTGTGAACTTTGAGGAGTTAGAGGCTACTGTGTTTATCACCCTACAAACAATTTTTGTAATGTGTAGGACAAAATGGCTATGGACAACTTATTGTTTACTGCATGGGATGTTCAATTTTCAGAGTTCACTGAGATATGTCTCTATGAACAAACACACATGTCCCTCCTCTGCAGCAACAGCAAAAAGCTCTCTTAAGTTGACAAAAAAAAAATAAACAAACACTTTTATGGTGGTAAACATAAGGTATCACTAGGGAAATATCACTGGATATTCCCCAGTTTAACCCTCTAACTCCCTGAAGATCTGATTGTTAACTCTCCCTTCCAGCTGCTACCCATTTCCTTGTAAATAAGTTATGAGAATTTGGTGTCAGACAATTTCTACCTGATAAGCTCGAGTATTCTCATTCCCTATTTGCTGGGAATAGAGAATAAATATATATATATATATATATAGAGAGAGAGAAGTTTCATGTCAATCACTTCTGGGAGTTAATTAGGGTTAAGCTGGAGAAAACATGTAGTTGGTAACATGTGTATAGACCAATTACCTGTGAGCAAAAATGTTTATTATATGGTAGCTGCAGTTATTTCTTCATGCAAAGAGCAAGCAGAGGTGGTCAAAATATGGTCACAGACCATATCACAGAGCACAGTCTACCCACAAAGGATATCTGAGCAAAGTTCAGTACCCCTGGGAAAAGAAGTAAGATGTGAATCACAAGTTAAGTAAATTTGAAGTTGAGCTGGTCAATCTAATACCTCTGTCAGTAGACACTCAAACTGACAGATCAGATCAATAAAAAAAATACTTTAAGTTAACTGACAGAAAATAACAAGTCATAATTCAGTGCTAGAAATGGTACAAGGTTGTACATTTGAATCTATGAGCAATCCTTTTCAAGCAAGCTGTAAAAGAAACTAACTTGAATTGCAAACTAAGGCTTTTGGACAATGGTGTGATTATTTACAGTGAGTATGTGCCTCAAGAATTTATCTCGCCTATTTTTGGGAGACCAAAGAGGGATGGATCTTTCCAATTGATACTTTATCTGAAAGGCCTTAATAAGCATTGATTGCCTATCACCATGGGGCTTTCTCTCAGACTGAAACACACATTGACTGTAAAGTGTGTGGTTAACCATTGAACCATAGCACTGATACAGTATTATAAAATGGAGTCCCTCCAGTCAGTCATACAGTTGATGGTAAAAGATTGCTGCTATGTTAATTTGAAATGTTTCAATATCCATCCATGTTTAGATATACTTAAAGTTTACATGGCAAGGTAACCTTAATCAATTCTCCAGCCTACCTAATCGTCTCTGCTGTGCAGCAAGAAGGTTCACAAAGTTCCTGCCTATTCCACCTTACAATGGAAAGGCCACATGTCTGTAGGTTATGCACTCCAGATGATTCACATTTGAAGGGAAAAACCTTTGTTTCATAGAAAAACAACATTTACAGATACTATTTATATGTTCCAAAGTCTTGGTTTTACTATTTATCCAGGGGAATCTGTTTTGATACCAACTAGAAGGCTGACTTTTCTGGAGTTTATTTTGGACTCTCAGCTTATGTGTATCTCCATTACTACTAACAAAGCTGATTCTTCATAGCACCCACACAAGATTTACTTTCAAGGAATTCACCAACCATTAGGAAGGTTGCTGAGGTTATTGGGAGTATAGTTGCAAGTCTCCCAGGGGTACAGTTTGGTCAACACTATTATCGGCAACTTAAGAAAATGAAATTCTTGCCCTCAGAGAAAACCAAGGAAATTTTGGCAACCCAATGATCACTTCACAGGCTGCAAGACAAGACTGCCTGGCCAATCAACAATCTCTGTGATGGTTATGGTTATATACCAGTCCACAGGACTACACCACATATAGAGTTAACATCATATGCCTTGCATCTTGGTTGGGATGCAGCATATGAGGACAAATCAACAGGTGGTAGGTGTTCTAGAAATGAAACCTCGCAGCACATAAATGTCTTAGAATTAAAAGCTGCCTTTTTTGCATCAAACATCTTGTGTAGAGGCAGTTACAGTTGCATAAACAATATGGGTGGCAGTCATTCTCTACCATATAATGCTTTGGCCCAAAACATATGGCTTTGGTCTCTTAACAAAAATATTTGGCTGTGTGCAGTCCACCTACCTAGTAATTAAAATGTTCAGGCTGACCAAGCATCCTAAATATTTAATGACCAAACAGAGTAGCAGTTTAAAGCCCTTTTAAATACGTTACTGCTTATCATAACAGAAGTTGAATTATTTCCTCAACAGTGAGATTTTAGGTTGAAAAATATGTCTCATGGAAACTTGACCCTGACTGGCATTAGCTGTGGATGCAGTATTTTGGGCAGGACAAATCAGAATATTCTACAAGACCTGGAAGAATAAGTTTTGTTAATTCCCAATTGGCCCACCCAACCGTGGTTCTCCAAAGTAATGAGATTATCAATGAAAAAACCAATTCTGACCTACCCAGAAACAGCTAACTGCCTAGGCTATCATACAACAAGGCAGTAATTTATCCACTGGGAAGCAAGCTATCCCTGTTGGTACATCAAACTCATCCTACATTGCCAAGATATCCAACAATGTGGGATGTTAATGTTGTGTTATAGTATTTAAAACTGTGGCAACAGCCACAAGGCTTTCACTTAAAAAATTGTCATGTAAAGAGACTATGTTGTTGTTATTGTGATCTGGTTAGAGACTACAGAAATTATGAAACTGTAATATATTCATAACTTGTCCATTATCAACTCATCTTTTAGTTTCAAATTGCAGAAAAGATCAAACAAACAAGGCCTGGAACCTATCTCCCAAAGTTGACATTCATGGCCTATGCACCAGATAGCAGGCTTTGTGTTTACACATACTTACACTTGTAAAGGAATATTTAGCTAAACAAAATAGCTTAGGGGACAAGAAACCCAGCTGCTCATAAGTTTCAATGAGCCATACAAGGCTGTATCAAAGGATACTATTGCCAGATGGACAGAGACTGCCCTTTCAAAGGCTGGCATTGACACATCTCTATTTACCACTCAGAGTACCCCAGTTGCTGCTAAGAACAAGGAGGTCTCTTTAGACACAATTATGTCAGCTGGCAGGTCAGTCTAGGCACATTTAAGACACATTATGACATATCAGTTCAAGTCAAGGGAACTGTTAATTATGGAGATGTTATTCTAAGTGTTGCATTCCCAGTATGGCAGACACGGAGTGTAACATAATTGGGTTTGCCAGGTCAACCACAGTGAAGTACAGGATGGACAGCAGACTCTTACACATGTTTACAGGACTAAATCATGTAAACAGGCTAACCGACTTGTTACAACACTTGCGGTGAAAACTAAAAAGGAATGCATGATTTGTCTAAGCTAAGGAAACGAGCTAAACTACAAATCTGATGACAGAAAACACAACTGACGATCATGACTTACGTCTGATCTTGACTCTGGGGATGAGAAAACTCCAAGTTGTAAAAAAAAAAACTCCAAAAGACTCTTATAAAACTCCTCCCTTTACTCCAGGGACAACTCCTTAAAACTAAAATGTTCTTGTGAAAAAAAGCCTAATGTACTTCTATGACATAAAGGAAACTAAACTGAAACAACTCTTCGTGCGGCTAGCTAAAAAAAGGATATTTTATAATCACGTAATCAAAACGAAACAAAGCTACATTTTACGAAAACAAAAGGTCATAATGTTCTAAACTGTTTTTCATTTTTACAGCAACGTGACACTAAGTTAATTTTCTCTTTATTGGTGTGTAATAATATAATGGATTTCTTTACATTGTCATGTGGACATTCTGCTTAAAATCTCATGTGATCTTCAAGTGAGGTAAAGGTAAGGTAGAATTTAAAAATTAAATCAGACTTACCTGTAAGTTAAAGTTTCACTGTAATTCTAGTGATCTATAAAGTCATAAGGACGTCATGTGCCCTTCCTGTTCTCTTTAAGAAAAACAACTGGCACTTACCCAGACCTTGGAATATCATTTTTTGTCCATTTGTCAATGACATTGAATATTTAAAGCTGTGCTTGCTCATGCAATCTCCAAGGTGTGATCTCCTCATGACTCCATGGATTGGTGGAATTACTATCAAACTTCAACTTTCAGGTAAGTATTGTTAAATTTTTAAATTTTCAAACTTTACATTCCCTACAAGAAGTCTTTGTTTAAAACTGAATTCAAGATGAGAGAGCACTTTGTGGTTGTTACAGAAATAGGGACATGTTTGATCACTGATTCATTAAGTCATATCAGAGAAAGCAAAGAAGTGAACATCCCACGCACCAAATGGTAAGCTGTTCGTGAACATTTTTTTTCCCACATGTTGCAAAATATTTAAAGGATAATTAAAACAGCTAGCTGCATTTGTTACTCAAAGCTCACACTTTTCCTCAAGGTTTGCTCTCGCAAGCATCTTGGAACAGATAATATCTGTGGATCAGTATCTGTACATATTTTAGGACCAAATGGAGGCTGTTGTTTATTATTAAATTTTCAACTCCGAATAAATTGCACTTCTTGTGTTAATTCTAATTGGTCAACTCAACTCGGTTCATCAGCTCATATGCTGAGTCACCTTATATGACTTAAAATATCCAAACGTTTAGGATTTAATGAAATTTAATAAAACAATTATTCCATTCACACTTGCTGGATGTGAGATTGGTTATAGACGATATCCAATGCGCGCCCATGGAATAATTGCTAAATAAATCAGACCTTTGTAAACAAAGGATGTCAGAGCTTCAATCGATCGATACCTTCCAATGTCAGTCTGTTTGTGTGCAAAACTTCGCAATATTTGATTCCAAAATTGGCTCAACTTTGAGGCTATAATTAACAAATTACTTACTTCAAAAAATTGCATCATCATTTACCATCACTCCGTAATTAAGTTCGCTTCCAGAAAACATCTTAGAGAAGTTAAAACTGAAGAAAAATGAGTAAAGGCCTCATTCCTTGTGTTCATTCTATTGAAAACATGCTTTTTAGTTTGACAGTGTTTTCCAGGGTTTAGAAAAAGAGTCCGTGACTGATTTTAATGGACATGATAGGTTTTTCAGCTCATAAATAATTAATGAGTATTTGAAGAATTGCTTGAAAACTATCATGTTCTAGGAATGCCAGAACAGACATAAGAAGTTTTGGAGAGAAAGTAACTCGTTATGTTAGATCGCCTCCAAGAGTGCTCAGGAGCCAATTTTCTGCTACATTTCTCTTTCCACAGAGCAACCTTTTGCAGCATGAAGATCCTAATAAACCTAAAAAAACCACTACCACTGTGTACGATGTAAAAATAAACGTTTTTTCAAAGACAATGACTTTGCTGAAAAGGCTCCACTCACTGAGCATTGCCAGAAATTTGGGACAATATGGCGGAGGCAGTTCTCGTGTTACAAGCAAAATGGCGCCGAAACAGTATTACAAAATGTATGGGAAAAGATTGTTTTTTCAAAATAGCTGTCTAAGAATGGGATATTCTCTCGCTGCGTACTCGGAAATGCAGCCTGCATCGGTTAAAGCGTTCATCGCTACGAAAAAGAAATACTCAAATTCAAGCCTACCTTTTCCCAAGGTATACGAGTAAACTCATAATTGTGACTCCATTTTCCCATACAAACTCTTAAAATCTGCGTCGACTAGGTGTTACACTTCTTTTGTCGTGGGATCAACCTTGTGAAGATTCACGACTGCGTAGATCGATATCCATAATTTCTGCAGAAGTTTGCTCAACTAAATCGCTCGTAAACGGTCGAATATGTTCGCCCACAATCCTTCCTCGAGCCGGAAAACTCTTCGTATTTCCACAGAGCTCAAAAGCCAAATACGCTATTTTTAAATACCCCAATTTTAGGAAGGAAGAACACGAAAGATACAAGTCCAGTAACTACACGATTTGGCCGCCATTGTCCTTGTTTTGACGTCTCTTATGGATTTCTGGGATAGAAAGGTACCAGGCCTTTCTCTGGTGGGGTTTTACGGAAATGGAAAGCTACGTGTTCACTTCACTTCCACCGCCGCCATATGGGATTGTCTGTAATACGATATACCGCTGACATTTCGTAACGGGCTCGAAATGTCCCCGATTTCTGGTGACGGTTATCTGTCGCACCTAAACGTAGGAGGTGTCGGTGCTGAACTCGATAACCATCTGTTAGAAATACAAGACAAGAATCTCTCAGAAAAAGACCACAAAGAGCTGCTCGTATTTCTCTTTGCCTATTAGCGAAAATGCAAGGAAGTGATAAAGAGTTCAATCAAAACGAATCCTACCAATGAGCGCCAAAATATAGAAAACGAATTGAATAAATTGATTATATGTGTATCAATCGGTACTTGCAAAGAATCTACGCAAGCTGTGGTTTACCAGGAGCGAAAAAAGAGCCCAAAACGACGAACAGGAGAAAATGAATGACTTCACGTTATTCGTAAAGTAAGAAGTGAAGGATCTTTATTTGGGTGAAGACTTCAATGCAATGTTGTCCCTTTATTTCTTCCAAGAAGTGAAAAGCGAAGGGGAACCCTCTTTGGCGATTCCATGTTCACGAGTGATGAAACAATCAGCCAATGACTAAATGGCTGAGGTTGAAGACAAAGTTTGTAAGATAACTGAATTCCCGAATTGCAAAGGAAAATTGATGCCTCAACTTAGTTGGAAAGACGTTTCGCTGGCCTCGATTCAAATTCATCGCCATAGCTATTTTTTTCTTCTCTTTCTTTTTTTTTTTTTTTTTTTTCAGACGTTAACATTATTTTTGGAAACAATCCACTTAAACACATGATGCTAGGGGTGCGGGTAGGCATTTATAGATTATGCTAGCATAATTTTTGGCATAATTCGAGCAAACTGGCATAATTTCTGCCAAGTAGCAATGCTAGCGTAATTTGCGGATTTTGATAATTATCAGGTCATGTTTGATGCCATTATTTGATAATTTTTTGTCTCTAGTCCCAAGCACACTTGGTGACCTTAATCGATATTTAAAGTTTTAGTTAAACTAGTAGCATTTTTAGTTCACTGTGAAGCACTGAGCCCGGGTCTAACCTGAACCACATGTTTATTTGAAATTCATTGTGGATTTGTTGCGTTTCTTTCCTGTAGACGAACGGCTTCTAGTTAAAAAATATATTTTTGGACTTATTTGCATTTTTTCAAAGAGCATAATTTAAAAAAACGGTGGCATAATTTGGAAAAAAGAGCATAATGTTAGCATAATTTGGCCAAAAAAAAAGAAATGCTACTAGCATAATATGCCACTTTTACTAGCATAATCTATAAATGCCTAGGTGCGGGTGAGGTTGACCACAAATTAAATTTTCATGAACATATCTATAACCTCTACAAAAAAACTTTCTCAAAGGATCGCAATACCTAGAAAGATTTGGCGTTTTTTTACCTCCTTTGCAGCGCAAGCTATGCTATAAGTCATTAGTTAAGCCAATAACGCTGAATGGATCTTGTGTATAGGGTGTTTCGTCGGAAGAAAATATAAAAAGAGCAATCAAATTCAAAAGCGAGCAGCTCTTGTCATCCTGAATGCAGTCATGGGAGAGGGAGGAAGAGTAATTTTTGAAAGACTTAATTGGTTACCACTGAGAGATGAAATAAACCTCTTAAAGTGTAAATTATTATTTAGGCATATCACAGAGGTTGACTGTCCGAATTCCGAAACAGAGCTACTGCCTTGAAATTCAGATTCGTATAGTAGGAGTAGTCGCAATGGGAATTATAATTTAAGATGTCCTCGGTGCAGTATAGAAACGGAAGGAGGCAGGACCTTTTAAGTTCATGGGACAAAGCTGTGGAATGGAAGTCCTCTAGAAATACGTAATCAGCACTATCACTTCCTTCAGTTCGGCCATGTAAAAAAAAAACCATTTTTTTGCATAGTGTTGTGAATAGAAATATCTGTGTTTTGAACTGATTTTTGTATACAGTTTTAACTATAGATGATAAATGTTTTGCGATCGATATTCATGCATACTTTGTACTATTTAAACAGTACAGTGTTTCTGTCGAGGAACTATCGGCTGATAGTTGCCCCGCGGAAATTTGATGTTCTTAAAATAAATATGCTAGTCTTAACAACATCAAATTTCCAAGGGGCAACTATCAGACCGATAGTTCGGGGACATATAAACACTCTATCGTCTTTATTGTTCACCACTAAATTTTCTTTCACGCCCCAGTTGAAAAACAGTCAAAACCCACTACATGCAGATCAATCAAATATTGTACATGCGTACAGCCTGTCACAAATTTCAGTAATTCGCAACCGTACATTGGCTAAATAATACGTTATACCTGTCAGAATTGAAAAGTCACTGTTTTTCTGATCTGCCTAACTTCGCGGCCGTCAAACCATTCAAAATTTTTCACGGCTGAGTACTATCCATCCGGGAATTTTCCGCGGCCGGGTACCATGGGTTGATAGTAGTGTCTCTTCACGGATGAACACTATCGCGTCACGTGATCAATTTAAACCAATAAGAATCGGAGACAATTTAGTGGTGAACTATAGTCTTAGTTATTTCATGATTACTCGGTAGATGTTAACACAGAGGGTCACTAGTTTATCAGTCACTGACTTTCATGTGTTACCCTCTCTAGTTAAAGTTGTTACCTACTTACTAACTTATAGTGTACCACACTGAAATACGCTAAAAAGCAAGTACAAAGTCATTTCTCAAACAAGCAACTCTAAATGTCAGTAAGAGCGATATCAAGATATATATTAGTAAGGGAAATACATTACGAAATTGATGCGCCTGTGTTGTATTCATTCGTCTTTTTTCGCTGAACAGAGTATCTAACATTTTTGACAGAAAGCATCATTGCTCTTAATTCATTGGATATATGAAATACAGCACACGCTTAAAAATAAAACTGTCGAAAAAAAAAAACTGAGCTATTCCAAGAAAATATCTTCTGCGGAGGAGAGCACCAATAATTCTAATTCGTTAAAAATATTGTGGAACGGTGGCCGACGTAGCCGTAAGAGTACTTCTGTATTTTAATTATTTTGCTGAACCAGTGCATCTTGCTGAAATCAGTATCCATACATAGTACATAGCAGTCTGTCCGAATCCAGATACACAGAAATATTTGTGTGGCACATGAAAAGATGCACTTGGATATTGGGTAAAATTAAGAATCGTTTTCGTGGGCCCATTTAATGGCCAAGAGTATCACCTTTGCACTCTAAGATCTAGATGAGAAAATGTATGATTACAAAATAAAAATCTCGTCGTTGACAGTTTTTCTACGAGACATTGCCAAAAGCAACTGTTCGACAAATGAAACATAGTAACCCGGCCAAAGCTAGGTCTTCCCTTCATGGATCCTTTAATTTTTTTTTGTTTCCTGTTAAGAGAAATAACGGGATGAACCTGCTCTCTAAGGTTTACGAGAAAAGCTTTGGTCCGAAAGGAGATGGTGAGTGTTTCTAAAACGCAACAGCTTTTCGATTGGGCAGAGCTGAGACCGACTTGAAAGTCAGAGTTGTTTCTCCTTCCTTGGCATGTAATACAGCTGGACTACGTGAGCTGTATTTTGAGCACATTGGGAATTTACAGCGTTATACCCTCGCCAAAATTCAACTTAGTCTTCTTTTCATATTCTAGCTTATATTTTATCTTTGCAACGTGTAACCCACCGGGAGCAAAGAAAGGCTTCGTTAAAGGCGAAGCATTACAACTCCTCAAGACTAATGCTTCAAAAGAAAAATTTGATGAAAACATTAAATAATTCAAAACACACCTTGCAGAGAAAGGCTACCCGAAAATCTTTATTCGCAACACACTCTCAGAAGTGACATTTGAAAGACGTTTATAACATAATGAACACTTGAAAATACGCATCGTCTGATTGGTCAATTCAGTTTCCAAGCAGATGCATTATCAGTTTAAAGAGCCCGCATGTAAGTAGTTATGTCATAAAGGCAGTAAAACTCATTTTTTCCGGGCTCAATAACGCGATAAAGCCATTTGGAATGTTGCGAGTTCTCTCAACATTCCGCGTGGCCTTTTCACATTAGGCCATCCCCACCCCTTTTGTTTTCGTTTAGCGTCGAATGCGTGTCCAAATATCAAGTCGGTCGGTCGGATTGAAAAAGAGAAAAATTTCCTGAAAAAAAGATTACAAGAGGTCTCTCAATAGAAGGCCTGGTACACCAGCGTCATTGCTGTGGAGCCCGGAGACAACAAGACATAAATCTAAAATCAATGTGGCGGAAACGTTGGTTGATGTTATTATAAAATTAAGACAACGTGGGAAAAATATGCTGTTAGTTACTAAGCTCAGAGGATTGTGCAAAGCGAGCTGAGCTAATGAGAATGTACTTTCAGCATTACACTACATACAAGAAAAATTTTTAAATACATCAGTTCTGTAGACTTGACATCTGAGCTCGGCTTAATTCATTTTCCGAGTTCAGTAGCTCGTAACCATTTTAATTCATCTCGTGTCGACCTGTTTGAGGAGATAAGACCGACATTCTTGACTCAGAGACTCATTTTCTTTCAGCTTGCGGCACTAGGGCGCTACTCGAGTGGAAGGGGCTGTACACGTGCGAGGGGTCAGAGCGCGAAAAATTAAATCCTTAATATAAGGTGCAACCAAAACAAGAGAAATGGTGATCAAAGCTCTGATATGAGATACAAAAGTTTAACGTAACATACTCAATCGCGTTTTAAATCTACTCTCCTAAAAGCGAAAAAATAATCACGAGTATTTTATGGTCCATATGCTGTCTTGATCACTTAATGGAGGATAGTTTAATTGGAGCCATGAAAGGAGTCACCAATGAATAGCTCCACGTTTCGCACAGTGACAAGCTGGGTAAGCCGGAAAGCAAAAGGCAGTCGACCGTTCAAAAGTGTTGAAGGTCCTTTGGGACTCCTGCCATTCGCAAGTGATTTAAAATCTCTTGTCTTCAAAGTGTAGTTCTTACCTGGACATCTTTAGATGGTTTTCCTTTGCGATGTGATAAGAAGGGTTAGTTTGAAGGTGTCATTTCCCCATCTATATATTATTGAGGTTTAACAAAGCCGGATGAGATTGTGTCACCTATGGCAATATTTTTTTCTGTGTGCTATTTACTACTTTTTTAAAGTGACCTTTCTCTTCCACAGAAAATGACTCCGGAGAGGATCATGTTTACTGTGAGTACTCTCCACCAGTATATCGGTCGAGAGTCGGTCCATTTGTATATAGATTCTTAGGCAAGACTGCAGTTTCGATTCCTTTTTAATCTCGTCAGTTGCCTCCTAAGAACGAATGCGTCACGGAGGAATGGTAGGAGTCGTACAAGCCCATCAACACTTTAATTTTCGGAGGAACGGCAACATAAAGTGAGTCCCCATTACATTCCTCGTGTCCGCGCTATTCACACAAGATGTTCCCGCGAGCGCGACAGGATACGAATGGCTTACTTTTTGTTTTATAATCATGATGCAACGCAGTCAGAATTTGCACTCCGCCTGGCCATGCATAACGTGAACGTGATTTATGGATTATCAAGGATTACCTTACCATGACCAAGGGTCAGGATATATTATGAGAAAGATGTTTTGAAAAATTACACAGCTATGTTTGGGGACGGGTTAAAATAATCATGAATCGACATGTGAACGCGCAGGCGGTAGAAAAAGGAAGAAAAGTTAAACGTAATTCTTTTTGAGCGTTTGTAAGAAAAACATCCTTGAAATAACAAGCAGAGACAGACTGCGGCATATTGAATAGCTGACCTCATATCCAAATATCTTTCACAGTATTAGTGCTTGACACGTCATGCCAGATTCCAGAATAAAGTATACGATTTCCTGTTGAGTTCATTCTTTCGAACCAGGCACTCGGCATGAAATAGTTCAATCAATTCTTATCACAGACGAAAGTGCAAGAATCAAGATAACAAAGAAGTAAGATGTACACTTATATAACGACGACTTCTGGTATCAAGCTGACCAGCTACGGGTATCTGGATGAAAATATTCTCACTTCGGAAAGCATCCATCCATACGATGGTAATTTCGAGCCAAAACGTTGTCAAGTTACTGAAGAGAACCAACTAAAGAGTACAAAACTTTTTGCATGATGAAACCACGACAAACTTAAAAGAATCGAATGGCACTCGCAGAAGATCAATTACGGGCAATAGAGACAGATTTAAGCGTTAAGAAGAAAGAGGTGGAGACGTCATCAAGCAATTTGAAGTTAAGTAGAAAGGAAAACAGAATGGGTGCAGTAGTTAAAGCACCAAGAGCCAGCAACGAATAGGAGTCTAGCGACGGGCCAAAGTATTGAGGTTTTGATGTAAAAGATCAGGTTCAGAGTTAAAATCGACTGAGTAAGATTGAGTTCGGCTCATGACTTCATCTTTTTACGCATGCCCAATGATGGAAACCATTTACCAAAGGCGAGCAAGACTAAGTTCAACTCTTGATGTCTTCTTATTACGCATGGCCGATGGTGGAAAACGAAACACAAAATTTGCTTCAAAGGTAAGACCATTTTCTTGCTTTTGACTGAGATTCAGTACTTTTTTTCGAGTTATAAAAGACTTCATTCCCAATAAGGACTTCCGCAATCATGCAAAGATCATTGAAACCATATTTAACCCGTTGAATAGTTTATTCTGCTCTAACTTTATGTCCCTTGATGCCCTAGATGAACGACTGTTTACTGCAAGGAAATGTCGAGGTGAGACCCCAAACAGTTTTTGCAGGAAATGGAGATACATTACCATCACCATTGTAATTATGTTTAGTAAGCGTAAAGTTTGCCTATCTCAATTATACCACCAAAAACTGAACTTATAGGTTGTTAAACAAATCAGTTTTATCGTAACAAACATCATATGTGAAGGTCAAATGAAATCAAAGCAGCAAATACCGGTTTCTTAACTAACTTTAGGAATAACGGGTTATCTTATCATTCATATATTCACAGGATAGTAGCATTGCTATCAGGAACTTCGTTCTAAGGTAAATATTTAAAAGTATTTCCAACAACATAGAATTATTTTACACTTCAGAGCAACGCCATACATTAGTGTTAGTAGATTAGATCATCATGGTAATAGACATGTTAATTCAATAAAAAATAAAACCTTCTGCAATTTCCTACGTCATTTTACCCCTAGTATATCCCAACTTAGGAGCCTCTCTCTTCACTTCTACATTCTACTTGAAATTATTTTGCAACCAAAAACAAATTAACTTGCCCTCGCCAATACTTCCTGGGACCTGTCACGAAAAGCGAGTGGCATTAAGAAGTCTTTATCCTTTCCACTCTTTCCTGTTAATTCCAATACCAATGTTGTGATATTCCTTTCTCAATTACAGAGACACACAAAGGTTGATGGTGCTTGGAAACAATGTAAGTCCATCCCTATCAGATATCTCATTCTGCACCTGTTAAATAGTTGCAGGCTTGTTTCCAGTTCACTTATCTTTGTCCTCGTTTGTTTTACAGAATAACATGTTGCAAATCAGGAACGGAGTAATGAATGGCGACAGACAACGGTATACCTTGTTTTTCTCCACTTTTTAGCCAAGGAATAAGAATATAGGTGTTATATTGCATACTTCCATTCTAGCTTGAAACCTATCATCATTTTACCAAATGTTTCACCTAAAGAGAAATGCTTTCCATTTTTAATGGTCTTTGGCCTTTAAAAGTGTAGTGATTATATGGCCAAGGCGTGGTATTCGTATCTTGCAGTGACATTCAAGGCTTCCTCGTCATGGGCAATATTGCTGTAAGTACTTCACTATCAAACATGTTGTTTTGCACTTGTTGGCCAATTCCATTTTTAAACAATGGTTTTTGACTGATCATTGCTTAATTCTCTGCCATTTCATTGTTTACATTGAAAAGGTTATCAGAAGGAATTTTGTGAATGATGGACGAAGAGATAGGTATGTTTCCTTGTTATCCTTCCTTTAATATATAAGAGAAATCATCCCAGCAACTTGGAGTGTTAAATACCCAAATGATGTTTCCATCTATTTGAAAAAGAAGAGCATATTTTCAATATCTCATCACTCCACATCCAATGAAATTGATACGAAATTTCTCATTATCTAAAATTGGTTAGGATGATTCTCCATATAGGTGATTTATCAAAATAAGCATCCAATAAACCATGCCCTCACATTATCGCTTAAAGGCAATCCATACGAAATCAGTTGATTACTTCCTCCTCTGATCTGTAGTTGGCAATACTGCCCATGACCATGAAGTACCATGGCTTTTCGAAATATCACATTAATTGAATTCTTTCACTCTTTAGGATGGAGAAAGAGATGATGACCAAAGTCGAGGTATGCTTCACCCATCCATTGAGATAATATGTCCAGCTTTGTCCCACAGTCCTTTCGTACACTGCAACTATAGTTTGCAGCTTGGCGGCCCACTGCAGCTTCTCTCGAGATGTATTCTTGTCTAAATGCACATTGAATCCTCCAAACTCAATAGAGTTGTTTGAACTTTTTTCCAGGACGAAGCAGCCAAAATGCGACGTAAGATTGTTTTTGGCTGAGAAACCAGTAAGTAAACTAACCACATAGCAAGATCCCAATGATTAATGATGCCCTTACGCGACTAACACCAAGCTTTGCCGCAAATCACCCACTCACCAGATTCTTACAAAATACCTCCGGAGTCCAATTAAGTTGGTGTATTTTCCCTTCTTTGCCCATTTTGGCAAAAACAGTAAAGTTGCAAAAAACAATCGAACAATCAAATAAGAGACAGCACAGAAAGAACTTTTCAAACATTGGAGTAGGAGACAGCTTTGGTCAGAGCCATTTTCTCATTTTTTCATCACTCCCTTCCATGTTGCTTCTGCATTGAACTGCGACGTGTGACCCGCTTCTCATCATCCTTCCCGATGCTCTAACTGAGCCACTCCCAGTGATTGTCTAAATCTGTAAGGATAAATCAAAACTAAGTCGAACACTGAGGATGAGACTTCTGTAAAAGTTTATCGTTAAGTCTAAAGTACACAACTGAAATATAAAATAAGCAAATAAACACACAAAGCCTTCATGGATTTCGTGTAAATCTATCCTATATGTTTAGTCCCGTGAAGAGCTTTATAACAATTTAGAACTCAGTTGCTCCGACGAAATTTGCAGCTCCCTTCACAGGAAAAAAAGTTACAATCAACAGAACGTCGTACCTTGATCAGTAGATTACTACCTACCACCACCAATTTTAATTGTTCACAATAGTCTTAATATGGGGTTAGTTTTTTTGGTAATATCAATTCAGTACTTTAATTGTTTTCAAAATGGTACAATTCAGGCAACGAAGTAAAAACAAAAAGAATGTAAAACTGGAACAAACACAAACAAAAAAGCATCCAACTTCCTTACATCGGATGGAATGAGGGTTTATAGAATTTATAAACCATATTTCAATATCTAAAATTATGCACCGAAAAAAGACAAAAACAAAAGAACACAAACAACAGCAAAGTCAAGAAAAAAAGGAAAGCAAGTCGTTTTTAACAGATAAGTCTAACAGAGTGTAATGAATTCGACACTTACTTTCACCTATTTATTAATCAATTTTTTAATTAATTTTTTTTCGCAGAAGCAAGAGTCAAAGAAGAAACCTTTAAAGTTCTGTCAGAAATGTGATGAAATAGATTATCAAACTTTATACTTATATATATAGACCTGTAAACATATATTTATCTGCGATAATTTATTCTTTAATTAAATATGATCAAAGCTTAAATACAAAATTCTAATATGAAGTATAAGAGTATATTGCAAGAAGTTATTTGAAAATGAATATAGACAGTATTTGGGCATATACCAAATCAATGAATATCGAGGCGACAATCACCAGTTGTAATCTATAACTGCAATTTATGTGAGCTGCCAGAATATAATAAACAGTATTTAATTGTTTGCTATGCTCCAAACTCATATTGTTATGCATTTAAGCTGAGATATTAATAAATTTATAGTAACTGAATTAAATAAAAATAATTGTTTAACAAAGTAAAACTGAGGAAAAATCAAAATGCATGTATTTAAACTTCATTGACGATGTCTTTCTTAATTTTCTATAAGGATAGTAATGGAATCTAGTTACATATCAAAAAGATTGTTAGAAGTTGAGACAAGTGACATTTGCGTTAATAAAACGCTTCTATTTCATCTGATTTCAGTTGTTGGTGCATTTTATAGATAACTATCATCCCATTGTCAGCGTTCTCTGGTTTAGCACCAGCTTCTGAATTAAAAAAGTGAGAACTATCTACGAAACCCACGGAGGATTAAAGTGCTTAGGACACAAAAGCTTTTTTTCCGGTTTTTGCTTCTTTGATTCTTTACTCCGAGGTTGCGACACATTTAAAATTTCGTTGAGCTGCTTTTCTCATTCAAAAATACCGCTATTTTGGCCTGGAAATTGAAGCAAGGACGCGCGGCCAAAAAGCCACGTGACGTTTTCTTATGACGTCAGTTCATTTGACCCAAAATCAAAGATGGCGGAGAGCAAGAAGAAGGCAATGAATAAAGGAGGTCGATATTATGTGGCTGGAGCGCCGAACGGTCAGAGTTGTACGAATTCACACACCCGGTATTTCTATGCACGTCTTTCCCTCCTATCCCAGTTTGAGGGCAAAATGGGTTAAATTGGTTTAGAATCACCGCGTTGATTTCGGCTAACCAGAAAGTAAATATGCGTTGCTTTTTTCGGCTTACTTCGAGTAAAATCCCTTTGAAAATAGCCTAGCATATACACTGGAGGGTATGGTAGGCTTGAAAACGAAAAGAAACTTCATATTTTATAATTTATCCCAAGTTTAGCCGATCTTTATGTGATTTCTTTTTTCTTGAAAGACATATACTAGCAAGCTTGCATTTTAATGAAAACATTAGAAGAGAACACCTGCAAGCAACAGCTCTTACAAACTTAAAGAAGACTCGCCATATTCTGAGTGTGAGCGATAGATATCATTGCGAAATCGTGGCCAATGAGTGAAATGACTCAAAGTTTGGGACGCACAAAGATTCAATCAATTACACTGATGTCGCATTCAATTTTACGAGGAAAACGAGTGAGTTTCAGGCCTCCGTAGGTAGCGTACAGTTATTTTGGTCATATCTAAAACAGTTTTAGTTTCTTTTTCAAAGAATCAAACACCGAGTCGTGACTTAAGATTACAATCGCTTTAATTGTGGTTTAAAAGTCAAAGCCATTCCACTATTCCCACGACTGCTAGATAAGTTCTGACAATGTTTCGGTCACAGTGCTGTGCAAATAAAGAACGAGGTAACTAGAGCCGAACAAAAATTGCTAGGGCTTTTAAGCTAAGATCTTCTCACTCAAAGCTCTGTACTTATTGAAGTTTTGACACAAAAAACTGTAAGAACAGCATAGTCGATTGCTTATGCCAAAAGGAACATGCTGCGTCCTGCAATAAGTCCTTTCACAACCAATGCTTGAAGTTGCTTCGATTCAAGATGGCGGTCGGTTGTGGGTTAATGTGGCTCCAGAGTCCCTTGAAGTTTTTACTTTCCTGTTGCTTTTGGCGTCTGTTCAGTTCTTCAACTGGGATGGTGTGTCTGTGAATCAACTGCCTGCTGAGTCCTTCAGTGTACAATATGCCTTCCATGGTTTTAATCCTTCGAGAATCGAATCATCAATGCGACCAAACACTCGCAGGAAACATTATCTTTCGAACCGTTTTCCGTATGCTACGGATAACTCCCGCAATTTCCAACTCACACGGCGAGTAATATTAAGTGGTGATGTTGAGGCAAACCCTGGCCCAAATGAAGACATTGCTCAACGGAAAAGCAAGCAAATCAATGTACAGTGTAAAGGTAAAACGAATGTTGGCCTGAAGATCTGCGAGTGGAATATCAACAGATTGAT